AAGGAAGGAAAGTTAAACGATACAACAGCAGCAGTTCTATTGCCGGGGTATACAGGGAAAGAACGAAGGTTTGTTTTCAAATAAATGCGCGTTTTGTAAATACGAACTCGAAAACATAAAATCGAGTTCTGGGTCCGGGGAACGTTGCACATTTATAGCACATAATCGTTAGACTTGCCAAGTTGACTCTTTGAGTTCTAAAATCCCCACTTTTCTTATAAAACGAGGTTTCCGGTTGTTGTTCTTTCTCACAGCGATTTGCGGAGACGTATAAGTCGAGGAGAAACGAGACACCGCGAGATCGTGCTTTTATTTCCCTCGAATTGATGCCATTATATTACATAGAGCACTGTTGTGTATAAAGGCCTGGGGTTGGTGATAACGTGACAAAGTAAGCAGGTCGATAGGACAACGGTACCTCAAAATGCAGAAGCAAGACATCTACCCAAAGTATCGGTTTTAGAAATCTTACGTAAAGTCGTACACCATAAATGTTAGGATGGTTACAGTATTATGCATTGTTGTTCATAAAATCAAAATAATAGGATAATGGCGTAGAGAAACCATTGTGTTTCAGAAAAACTTCTGCTATGATTATATAGTGAAACAATCAAGGCGAACACAAAAGCAAATGTTTGGTTTTGGTGGAATTCTTCTTCCATAATTATTCGAAAAAAACAACAACAAACCAAACAAAAAACAAACCCAAACGAACAAAACAACCCAACTTCAAATGCAGACCATGCCAACCATTTCTAATTAATTCAAACGACGCAGTGACAATCATTGCCAAAGTAACTATGGTCCAAGGAGAACTCAGGGGTGTCAGAAACAATACTATAAATTGTCCATTTGTAGAGCCTAATTTATTTTTAAAGAACCACTTCTAGCATTCCGTTCTTACTACTGTTGATGTTACCAGTCTCGAATGACGTGTTGTTTCGTTTCTTTCATCTGATGTTTGGCATATTATTATCTTCCATCACTCTCAAACATTGTCTTCGTTATTATTAGTAACGTTTTTTCCTCTTGTCATACCATGCTGCTCTCGTAATTCTTGTTATTATTGTTGTGTTTTGTTAGGCCCTATTGTTGTTGTTGTTGTTGTTGTTGTTGTTGTTGCTACTGCTGTGGTTGTTCTTCCTGGTTCCCAGTATGGATGTGTAAGGAGATGCATGCTGGGATATTTAGTTCTCATCTTGGTGAAGGTGCATGCTCTCTTTCTCTCTCTCTCTCTCTTCTAAATGATCATTCCATGACAGGGCGAACTCAAGCCCTCAAAGGACTGATAGCTGGATATCACGTCTCACTCGAGCGCTTCAGATTTGACGAATAAAACGACGATGATCTGAATCTTGTTTATCTCTCTCGTTTCCGAGCACGTTATTTACGCTTCTTTTAAATATGTCTTCTCGTAGTTCGAATACCATCGCCTCAGAACTATTTTGTCCAAAGTGTACCTGAATAAAAAGGCACTTCGGACAAAATACATGTAGTTCTGAGGCGACCCAAAACCCAGTGCTGTACTACTGCAAAACAGTTGGCCAACAGGTTTTTGGGAGGTTTCGGGGTGGGGGGGGGGGTTGATAGTTTTGTTGTTGTTGATAAATTGTGGACTACTTTTTTAATTTTTTTGGGGGGTAAGTGTTTTACAGCTCTCGCAACTGCATAAGGTCGTATGAGCGCGCGAGACACACCTAATACTTTTTAGTTGGTAGGAAATTTCGAATTTTGCCCGGGTGGCGGCCGAAGCCTACTCTTACTCTTATCGATTTTAGACCACCAAGGGATCTTTAACATGCGCAACTTGCACACGGGCCCTTCGAGATTTTTCGCCCTTGTCTGAGAAGGCTAGGTGTAGATCTTTCCTACCAGAAGATCAGGGGTGTGGCAGAAAGACAGCTGTGTGTAAGAAGGAGTCAAGGAGTAGCAGTAAAAAGGCAGCAGAAAGAGTCAGGAGTCCAGAGGAGGGGGCAAAGGAGGTGAGGGGGTGGGGGCAGAAAGAAGAGACGAAAGCAGACGACAGAATATTGCTAGAGAGCAGGAAAGGAGGTGAAAGGAGACAATTTTAGAGAAGAAAATGTTTCGGTCGCTACCCGGATTCGAACCCGGGACCTTTGAATGAGAGGCCAACACCTTAACCTCTAGGCCACGAGAGCCCCCCATTGTGGACTTTGAAAATAAGAAAGCACGACAAATAAATGTAATATTTGTGCCCCTAAAGCGCAAAGTTGAGCTTGAATATAACGCGCTCTATCAATGCAGTCATTATTAATTGTGAGGCAGTGTGGTGAAATCAGGCGCTCGTCAAAATAATGAAATCAAAGAAACCACCTTTACTTATTCAAGGCTTTGGGCAACTGTTTTTCGAATTTTCTTTTCTTTCCTTTTTCTTTTTTTTTGGCTCAACATCTTTTTTGTCCTTTTGAAAACAAGTTTCTGGGTGGATTTTTTATGAAAATCGCACAAAAATTATGTTTCCAAGGACTCTCGAGCAATGGAACTTAATGGAAGTCACCAAACTGTGGTGGCCACTTTCTCTCTGATTTTACTTCTGAAACCAGACGACCCCATCTCCGTAAATCACAAATATCTCTAAAGTTCTATTCAAGGAACATTTATAATAATGTGGGTATATTTTTTTCCATCGAAATTAGACACATGACCAAGCTTAAACTTAAGATGACACCAATAAGTCCACATGCCCAAAACTTGACGAGAAATTGATTGCACAGCGTCGAGACACAGTTGTGTTGTGTTGGTGCGGATGGTTTCTGCTCACTCACATTGACACAACCGGTTGTCGTAATGCGGAACTGGTCAAACAAACACACGTTTAAAGCTCTTTTTAAGGTTAGAAATTTTCTTTTCACCTCTTTTCCTTGCTCTTTTCCTCGTTTTCATTCTGTTGCTTCTCATTTTCTTGTACTTTTCCTCTTACCATCGCCCCCCCCCCCTCCTTTTTTCCCTTCCCCCCCCCCCCCCTTCTTCTGAGCTCGCTTCCGCCTGTTCAGTTGGTTTTTTGTTTGTTTGTTTTAATAAAAGTTTTACGGAATTTGCAACACGATACGATCATATGAGGGCCGAAGATTTAGAGGTGTTACAGGAGAGTAACATTAGTAACAAACACAAAAAGAAGGAGTGGAGAACAGAACGCATGATGTTTGACAGTAAAGAAAGAGCAAACCACACCAGAGTACCTGCCAACCACCCGCTCCTCTGCCTGTCCTTAAGGGCAGTAGACAATCTTTTCTCCACCTCACGTGACAAAGCAAGTCATAAGTCGATTAGACTGCAGTATCTCAGAAGGTAGAAGCGAGACACCCATCTTAAGTTGAAGTACACATATTAGAAATCTTGAGTGGGCCTACACAATAATGATGGTTACATAGTCTTATGTTGACCTAATGAGTAGTCCACTGGAAAAAACGGGCATAGTCATAAACTGGAAAATGAGAGGGTGTCAATTTTAAAAGCTTGTGGAGTCATAACTTCATATTTTTGCTTGATTGGTAGTTTATTGTAATGTTTGTTGAATAGGAAATCAAACAACAATAATCAACCAACAGTTGAACAGAATACAGTTATGAGTCAACAAGTGTTCAAAATCGATACCTTCACGATTTTCAGTTTGTGACTATTCCCATTTTTCCTGTGGACTCTTCATATTGTAACTCATAAAATCCCTCATAAAAAATATCATGTAAACGAATACTATGGGGGAGGAAAAACGACAGCGCAAATTATTTGGGTGATTTTGAGAAGTATTAATTTTATCATTTGGACTCACATGATATCTTATTATCTTATAACAGGATACAAATCATGAAGTATTGTAGGATTTCATTCAATCATTCAACCTACTCTGGGTTTTGGACAGATCTGAGAAAACACACTAAGTTATTCACCATGACTGCATGAACAAATCGGATTCGAACCAAAAACACCAGTCTGAGGTGTAGCGGTTAGCGGCTTCACTGTCGCATGCTGGAGACCCAAGTTCTTTTAGCTTTTTTAGTAAGAATTTTACGGCACTTGCAGCACAATAAGGTCATATAAGTATAAGTGCCGAAGTTTAGAGGTGTTACAAGAGAGTAACAAACACAAAAAAGAAGGAGGGGAGATAGTGACAATAGATTTTTTTTATAGCAAAGAAGGAGCAAACCACATCAGAGCACCCGCCAACTACCCACAGACCCGAGTTCAATTCACGAGAGGATAGAAAATTTTTATAGAGTATCCCAGTCTTTCTGCTGGGATATATCCCTCTCTAAACCCCAGTGGGCCCTTACAAGCAGAACTGGAAGCCCGCCTCCTAAATGATCTCAATTGTGTTGACGGTGGTGGGGAAACACTTATATTAAAAAAGAAAATTGAGCCAGGTACATCCAAAAGAGAGACAAGAACCATACCCGCCCAAACTGTCTTTGAAAGAAATGACCACAGAGAGAAAGTGTCGATCGGTTTCTTGACATTTTCATACATCACTCACTGTCTAAATCGTTTTGCTATATTTGAGTTTCCTCATTACGTGTTTTAAATATTAAGAATATACATGTGCATGTATTAGAAAAAGTTCAGAACCTGAAAGTACATTAGATATTTGTGCATGCTACACTAGTTCACCTATCATTTGTCTGACGATGACCAATGCATATGCAGAGGAAAAGATTTCATATGCAAAATAGATGAAATAAGGATTAAAAATGACTTGCGGCTCCTGCTACAGTCAATAACATTATGAGTATTTTAAAGCTTCACTTCCACTCATCGGTGTTAGCAGCTTACGGGATTCTTTCTTCACTCCTGAGCATTTCTGATTCATGAACCTAATATGAGTTGCAAACATAGAATAAAGACACAACCCCGAGCCCAAAACAATGATGAGGTGGGAATGATACCTTACAATACAATAGAGAAGTTGTGCCTCCTGTTACTCAGTTCCTTATTATTATTGTATTATAAGCGGAAGCTGAACAAATCCAAGCAAAATCATCATGTTATTTTGAAGTAAAACAATTTTTAATCAATCACAGTGTGACCAATGAATTCTTTTTCCTCTCCGCACTCAACTCAGCCAAGCACACTGGCACTCCTGAGTTCTTCTTGTCTCCATAAAAAACCAATAAGCACACTTTCATTCAAACATGATCTAAGGTGTAATGCTCTAAACATGTAACTGAAAGAGGTTACAGTTTTCTTGTTCGTTCTATAACTACAGCCAATTTCAATCTTCAATAATGCAGGTAGATGTTTTACACCTCCATCCACACAATTTAGATCATAATTTACAAAGTGGGTTTCAACACTTACTGTAAGGGCCAACAGGGCTGGGAGAGAAACGTCTACATGGCTTTTAAACTCAGGTCTTCAGCATGCAATGGTGAAATGCCTAGCCGCTACATCACAGTTGTTGATGGTCCCTAATCAGAATAAGGAATCAGCATGCACTTTACAGTAAATAGTAGTAAAGTACTGTGGGCAAACTTTTACGTCTTGTCTATTTCTTAAAAACCTCAAGAGCTTTTTCCACCTGTTCATTAATGTTTAAAAAGAAATGGCGACATTGCCCGAGCATTAAAGCATTGTTATGTGCTTGTCTCAAAATTCTACCATACGAAAAGAACACATATCAGTGAAGTCGAGAAGGAACCTGAGAAGAACGTGTAATTATTTAAATAAACAAGAACATGACAAGGAAGGCATATATGGTCAGAAATATCTTGACTGTTCCCAGATAATGAAATGACAATCACATTTCTGTGAGAAGTGTATACTTCAGCGATAACAACAACCAAAGTTAGGAAGAATTTGTAAAGAAAGGAAAAAGCATCAGATCGAAATCAGTGACAATATTCAGGTATTTCAATAGATGTAGATGTTACTTTTCTTTACTGTATCGCTTATTATTTATTTCATATTTTGCCTCAAATGTATATCTATAAATTTTTGTCAATCAAATTTCTCTTCAGGCAATAGAAAGTGTTCTCTTTTCTTTTTCTTTCTTTTTCAAAATCGGAGATGAACGAATTATGAAACAGTTGCTGTGAGAAATTTTGAATCAAAAGAAAATGTAGAAATATTGTTTTAATCAGGACAAGAGAAAATGCTAGAAATTTGTTCACCCTACAAAAATACATAAATTTATTTCTTTTATAAATAAATCACATAAACGCACAGCAGCAAAGACACCCACAGAAGACAGACACACACCAACTTATTTCCACATACGTGCAATCACACTCACAAATGCATATCCACTCACTCTCTCACTAGCTTGTTCACTCATTCCCACAGTTACATTCCACTCACCCCAAATACATAAACATGCACATACATAAGCTCATTCATTTACTGCCACAGACACGCACACACACACACACAAACACAAACTAAAACTCACTCATCCCCATTAAAACCATTTGTCAAAAACACAGCCATCGTTCAACCAAAACTTTAAATACTGACTCCACTGGGACCAAATTTCACTCTGTCTCAAACACTTCAGGCAGTTTTGAGGTGGGGGGGGGAGGTGTCTTGCACTCAAACTTTCATCATTTTTTCTTCTTCAAAGTGGGGGTGGGCTGCGGGGGGGGGGGGGGGGGGGGGGTGTCTAATATTCAATCTCTCATCAATTCTTCTTCTTCTTCTGGTGCTGAGCCTCGAGGGCCTCCTGGTACTCCTGTATCAGCTTTTCCTGTGTCTCTGGTAGGGCTGGGCAGTAGCGACTGTACTCCATCGTGAACTCTCCCTTGCCCTGCGTAAGCGATCGAAGCTCTGTCGCATAGCCAAACATCTCGTTCAGAGGTGCCTGGAGAAAATGGTATTTCAAAAACACTTTTATTTTCTGCTTTGTTCTGATTAGTTTTTCCTTTTTTTTTCCTTTCTTTCTTTTTAATTTCACTTTCTTTTTCTCATCTATCACTTACAAAGATGATGAAATGTCTCTAAAAATTAACTTCCCTCAAAACAAGCAACATTCACATCACAGAGCTTGGTCAAAAGTCTCTTAAAATAGTATTCATCTTCCAACCATCAACACTTTCAGCATAGAACAAGGTGATAAATCTTGAAAAATGGTCATCACAACCACCAATACTAAACTCCTAAACCAATGAAAAGTTTCTTAAAACTGTCTCCTCTTTAACCATTAAGAATCAATACTTACTTCACAGAAATCATTGAAATGTCGCTTTGCACTGTTCTACCACCAACGCCTGCCTCACAGAAATCATTGAAATGTCCCTTCGCACTGCCCAATTACCGACACTAACCTCACAGAAATCATTGAAATGTCCCTTCGCACTGTTCTACCACCAACACTAACCTCACAGAAATCATTCAAATGTCCCTTCGCACTGCCCAATTACCAACACTGACCTCACAGAAGACGGTGAAGTGTCCTTCCACACTGTCTGTGCCCTGTATAATGGCCGACCGTTTGGTGATGTTCTCCAACACCTGGTCCCTGTACTCCTCTGGAGCGTTGATCTCAACTGTCATCACAGGCTCCAAAATCTGCCACTGACCCATGTCAAAAACTGGACGCATGTGGGCAGGGAGTATGGGGGATGGGGAGGGATAGGGGTGGGGAGGGAGTATGGGGGATGGGGAGGGAGTATGGGGGATGGGGAGGGGGGAAGGATGGAGGAGGGGGAGAACGGAAGGAAAGTGAAGGGGTGAGATGAGAGGGAATTTTTGTGATAAGTTACAGAAAATATTGAAAGCTGCTTGGTTGACTTCAGTTTGAGTAAGGAGAACCCATTGACAGAGGAATGGTCATTTAGTGCTGGAAAAAGCAAGACAGACCCACCGTTACAAAAAAATAAATAGTAAAAATACAAAAACAAAAGGAAGACCCACTAGCGGTTCTCTCCAACCACCCGTGTTAAGAGTTGTAGTACTAGAAGACACAACACTACGGTACATCTTTTTGATGATGAGCCCCAGTTTATTTTAGGGGTTTTTTTTGTTTTTATTTCTGCTCACAGCTTTCATTAACTGCCCTTTGTACACTTGACATACAGTGGAGTCCAACCAAATATCGTAAATTCAAAAACAACAGAAAACCGAAAGAAATTAAAATCCCCAACTTAAAAAAAAAAATTTGAGCAACTTCTCTAAACTGAAAATCCGGCTAAACCAAAGGAAATCCGACAGTCCTGCAGATTTCGGTCTAAAAGTGGGTTCTACTGCACAAGGTTTTACTACTAAAAGACTCAGCTTTGTCACACTGTACATCTTTTTGCAAGACTGTCCCATGACAAAACCTGAGTGAGTTACTCACCATCTCTCATACTCATCTCACTGGCTAGCTGGAAAGCCAGGTCACTCGAGTCGACGGCATGATTGGCACCTTAGGAAACAAACAGAGCAAAAAGAAAAGCAAACAATTAGCCTGCAAGATCATGCTTCTTCTTTACCAGTATTTGCACTCTTAACAAAGACACATTGTTTTGCTTAACTATAAAAGAACTCAGCTTTACCTCTTTACATCCGAGGGGGGTAGACCCACTATGCCGGGGCTCTCTATTTGCGATTAACGGAAATGTGGAGTTACCTGGCTTCAGAGGTAAATTTAGAGAGAAAATCGCCGTCAAAGTCATAGCTTGAGATTCCTTGAATTTGAAAATATATAATTTTTGTCCCTTTAATTAACATTTTTCAGTAAAATCCACCAACAAACGTATTTTTAAATGGCCATAAAAGATGTTTAGCCAAAAACCAAAATTCAATAAAAACTGTGGAACCAGTGGAAAAATGCCATTTTCTTCGATTTCACTATAATTTTGACGAGCGTCTGATTTCACCACGATACCTCACATATCATCATGCAAAGAGGATTAAAAAAGAAAGAAAAAAAAAGACATATAAAAATAACTTCTATAACAACAAACAAACCCCTCACCATCGACCAGCCTGTATTTCAGTCCAGTCACTTTGTGACCAGAGAGACCTCCTTTCAGACATGCCTTCGTAAAACCCTGTTAAGACAACAGTGAAAGATAGAATTTGACATAATATATATACCCTATTAAATCACAGAATTTGACACCAATAAACAACAAACTGTGAGTTTGTGTAGGTATGGGATACCTCGCCGCAAGACACAAATAAGTTCTTACCAAGAACGGTAACTTGACTTGGCAGGAAGAGTAAAGTAAAAGGGAGAAAAAAGGGAAAAGAAGGGACAGGAAGGCGGAACAATTTTTCACACACTGACAAACAAATTCTGAATACAGTAGAACACGGCTACAGCAGGACATTCCGTTCCAGAAGAAAAATTCAGCAGTAGAGAAGTTCCCGCTTTTGGAATGCAAACGGGAAATTGCTGAAAAAATTTTTTGCCCTCCCTTCCATATCAATAAAATATGCGCTTTAGTCTTCCTTTTCTTGTCAGCTTCTTGAGTATCTCAGCCTTTAATTCGAGTGAGAAGCATTTCCTTTTGTCTTTGTTGGAAGCCATCTTTTCCTCAGTCTCGATGCTAGTGCTGTCTATCGTACTGGTAGGCCTACTGTAGAACTGGTGAAGTGGATGTGTGCGTATGCCTATGAGCATCAACGATCGCAATTCAATGAATCAGGAATCCCACACTACAAGCTCTCCTCTTCTTTTATTTTTTGGCCTAGGGCTATGGCCTATACGCTCTCATACTGAACGTCTAAGCTATGGCACATCCCTTTTGGAGTCTCTCACGTAACGCGTCTCTCCGCACCATCTCTCTCTGCCGCCTGCCCCACCTCACTCTCACTGGACGGGTCAATCACAATGCTGCACCGCTGACTGCCTATTCGGAGCTTGCCTACAACACCCCCCCCCCCCAACCCACTTCCCCCCAGCTAGAGCTCGCTCGGTCTCTTCCGTGTATCCAAACTCGGGCCCTTCCGTGCCCCGTTAAACCCGAGCAAAGGTAATTGAGTTTACATAGAAAAAAAAGGGGATTCAGGTACGGTCTCGCTGCAGCGTGTTCTACTGTATTACTTAAAAGAAAGACAAGCAAGTCTAGGATATTTGAACAAAAGAAATATATATTTTTTTTAATTAAAGGGCGACATGTTATGGATATTTAAACTGACAATAGAGACAATAATATCATCAAAGCCTCAACTCAAATTGGGTGGCAATTAAATTTATCATGAACATCAAAACTAAGGAAAGGAGACAATCACATTATGAGCATCTGAACTCATACAGGGAGACAATCATGAACAGGCCACTAAAGAAGGGAGACATTCTAATCCTGATTTCCTGAACTCATAAAGGGAAGCAATTTAATCATGAACAGCTGAACTAAAGAAGAGAGACAATTTAATCATGATTATATCTGAACTAAAGAAGAGAGAAAATCAAATCATAAATAGCTGAACTAAAGAAGAGAGGCAATCTAATCATGAGGGTCTGAACTGATAAAGAGAGGCCAGCCAGCTCTGGTCACTCACAGCTTTGATGGCAGGCACAAACTGTCTGGGCACGTTGGTACCGACTGTCTCGTTGCTGAACTCCAGCTTGGTGTTCTCCTCTACAGGCAAAGGCTAGGGAGGGTGGGGGTAGGGTAGGAGACAAACAGCAACATATTCTTATTTGTTCAAAAAGAATCTTGAAAAAAACAAACAAGTCTAAGCCACAGAGCCTATTGCTGGCCAAAATGTACTAAACTCATAATTTTGTTTTTTCCTTTTATTAAAGTTTCTTAATCTGTAGTGCAAGTGCTCAAGAAATATTTTTCCAAAATTCAAATTCTAATCGTTGTTGGGAAAAAAGCAAGAAAAGTAGGCCTACATAATGTACATAAAAGAATGAAACAATTTTTTCTCTCTCCTGAAAAAGTTGTTTCATGGGCTTAAAACATTTTAACAGCTTGACGACATGCTTTATTTACACCATATCATCATGGACATAACACCACTGTTTAAGTCACTGATTTCAAGTCTCTGGATATTGGCTGGCGATTTTTTTTTAAAAGCCTGTTGCTTGTTTCATATCCTCGATAGAGCAGGGTATTGTTTTTAGTACTTACTGAAAATCTGATTATTGAGGTATTTCCACTTTCATAAGGTGAACATACCTAAGCACACACAGTTTTTTTACATAGGATCCCTCAAAACAACAAAACTGACATGAGAGAACTCTATTTTGACCATGAAGATATGGACAAGGGAGGGCATTGACAACGAAATGGAAGACAGTCACAATGGATATCATAAATATCATGACCGCCCACAGTTGTGGAATCCTGTCAGCAAAGTAGAACTATTGTATCACGACATGATTTGTTCTTTTTTTTTTCTCGTCTAAAAACTTATGACATGACCGACTCATGACTCACTTCCACAACTCCGATGACTCTGGCGTACTGGCCTTGCCCCCCTGTCTGTTTCTTGTGAAGGTAGTCAAACCTGGGACAAACATGGTCACAGCACTTAGTTTAGTTTCAGTAAAAGTTTTACAGGGGAAGACCAAAGACGACATGGAGGCCAAGCGGAAATTGAAAAAGCGGGCACATCATGGAAACAGATAGAAAAGGATGTTCAGGACAGGCTTCGCTGGAGTAATGTTGTTGATGGCCTATTCTCCACCGGGAGTTGAAAAGGACAGGAGAGAGAGAAAAGTTTTACGGACACTTGAAACACAGCAACGTCATATAAGTTCTGAAAATTAGATGTTTTAGTAAGTGTTTTGCGGCACTTGCAACACAATATGGTCATATATGTGCCAAAGATTAGAGGAATTAAAAGAGAGTACTTTTTTAAACTTTTACTTTTAGTAGAAGTTTTACGGCGCTCGCAACTGCATAAGGTCATATGAGCGCCAGACGATTAGAGGTGTTAAAAGAGAGTAACAAACATAAAAAAGAAGAAGGGGAGATAAGGACAATAGATGTTTGATAGGAAAGAAGAAGCAAACCACACCAGAGCACCCGCCAACCACCCACTAAAAGAGAGTAACAAACAGAAAAAAGAAGAAGGGGAGATAAAGACGATAGATGCTTGATAGAAGAAAAAAGACGCAAACCACAACAGAACACCCGCCAACCACCCATAGAAAATTAGAGATCTTACAAGAGAGTAACAAACACAAAAAAGGAGGGAGATAAGAACGATAGATGTTTGATAGGAAAGAGGAAGTAAACCACACCAGATCACTGGCCAACCACCCACTCACGGCACTTAGAACATGACAACTACATGACTCTTACTGTGTATCACACATCTTACTCTGACTTTAGAGTTCAGGGCACATGGACACAATAACATGCCCTTAGATCTGGGGAAAAGCAAGATGACAGAGATTGACAGAGATTCACAGAGAAAAGCGGAAAAAGAAGAGAATGACCTACAAGTGGCACCCTCAAACCATCTGCTCGCACAAATTAGACAATTTTGTTGGAGTACCACACAGATGGTGTACTTTGACAATATACATTTTACAGTTTACGTTATAAAAAAAACTTAAGGCAACAAAACCCTTACACTACATAAAACTCAAAATTTAAAAAAAAAAGACACACAAACACATATATACATTAAAAGGCCAACTGAAAAGTCTTACTTCTTAGATCACAATTTAAAAAATAATCACACCATAACCACAGAATTTATACCAAATGAAAGCTTAGAATGTGGGCTATTAAATTCTACCTTTACTTTTCCATATAATCAATATCTCTGTCACTGCAGGAGGAAGGAAGGAAGAAGAGAGGTAGAGGGCAGAGAGAAAAAAAAGGGGGAGGGGGACTGGCAGCTACCTGGGTAGATAGATATTTACATGTATATAATGATAAATGGTTAGTTAAACTGCTAGATTTGGCAGAGAAATCTCTAATGACAAAAGACTCGATCTATCAGGAATCTCCATCTGTATGTTAGTACTCACTCGCACGGGGACACAAGGCTCTCTCTGAAGGCCACTTTGGGCTTGCCTAGGACACACTTGGAATTGAATTCCCTCTCCAACCGCTGCAGATTTTAAAAAAGTAGAAACCACAAGTAAAATCACACAAGAGTTTACAAGCTTATATCTTCATCACAAGAGTTTACAGTCAACATCTTACCAGTTTACAATCTTTATCACAATAGTTTACAGTCTTCATCCAAAGAGTTTACAACCCTCACTAGATAAATCAACAGCCTCATGAACGCAGACCTCCGGTGTCTTTGAAAAAGACATGATTGAGGCACATTCATCCCATGAACAAACTGTGGCACCCAGCCATAGACGGCAAAAGATCTTGTCAGCATGTTCGTCTTTTAGCGCCTGCAAAATGGCAGCTTGTACTATATGCTTCTCAGGAAGTTAAGATTGTTACAGAATGCTATCAGGTCTGCTGGGTTAATATAGATTGTTAAGCGTCTGGAGCTTGCTGTTAAGCAGGACTTTGCCCAACACAAATGCTATTATTACTATTATTCACACACACATACACCCACACATACACTCATACAAATAATATAAACACACACACACACACACACACACATACAAATAAACACACCCACACATAAACATACACAGACATGAACACACACACACACAAACTCACACAAATAAACACACATATACACACACATAAACACACACACACTCACACATAAACACACACACACACACATAAACACACAGACACACACATAAACACACACACACACACATAAACACACAGACACACACATAAACACACACACACACGCGCACCTGGGCATAGATGTCAAGGTGCAGCTCCCCCATGCCTGAGGCTATGGTCTCTTTACTCTCATCGTCCCAGTGCACGCGGAACGTCGGGTCCTCTTTGGTGAACCGAGCAATGCCTTTGGAGAAGTTGTCCACGTCACTTTTCTTCACAGGCTTGATGGACATTGAGATGACCGGGTCAGCAATGTACATGGATTCCTGGGGAGACACAAAACTGTTCTATTGGGCAACTTTTTAAAACTTAAATTAAACAACCAAAAAACAAATAACACCTGTTTGTTTTCCTTCCAAGAGCAAAGTATGGAAAAAAAAAATAAAAACCACCAAAAACAATGAACGAGAAAGAAAAGGCAAAGCAAATTTTTTTTTAATTCCTCAACCTATCATTGTCCCTTCTACTTGATCATGCAAATAATTAAAAAGAAAGAAATGGCTACTCCATCTATTTCTGTCCCTTGACTGATCATAAAAAACATTAACAAGAAAGAAAAATGATAACTTCAACTTTTTGTATCCCCCTGACCAGCTCATAAAAGAACATGAACAAGAAAGAAATGGCAACTCCGATTATTCATATCCATATCCCCACGATCCACCTATAAATGTATTAATGGCATGAAAATGGTGCGGCCAATGTCGTCTTACCATGGAGAGATGCATGTTGCCTTTGGTGACAAAAGTGTCGCCGCTGGAGCAATCAATACCAAAGAGAGCGCAGATGTCTCCAGCATATACCTCCAGCACATCCTGGCCACAGAGGGAGGAGAGGTACACTTGATGAGTGAGGAGGAGGAGGGGACGATGAGGAGGAGGAAGGGTAGAAGGAACAGAAGTAAGAGTAGGAGGAAGAAGACATGAAATAAAACAAAATGAGAGGCAACAGACACAATTTTTAAAAAGGAAGGGTGGTTGGGGGGGTGAGAGAAAAAGAGGCAGAGAACACGAAAGGTTAAGGTGGAGGACAGGAAAGAGAAAGAGAGGAGGACAGAAAATAGAGGAGGACAGGAAATAAAAGAAGGGGAGGAACATCAACAGATTAGAAGGAAGCAAGAAAAAGGGGGAGGAGG